ATTTATTAATTAATTTTTTTATTAAATAAACATTTAACATTATTTTATGTGTAGGTGGTACAACATAAAATAATTGAGTGGTTTGATTATATATGTATTGTTTTATTTATTTATTGAGGCAATAGTGCTTGGTCTTTTTTCGGTGTAGACATGGCTTTAATTGGGTGCAATACAATAAATTTATTTTTCTAGTACTGCATATAGGCTTGTTAACGGATCAAATTTAGATAAAATTCTGATTGATCTGAATCTGAATCTGAATTCGATTTCAAAAGTTTGATTTGAATCCAATAATCCGATAAATTTTGTTTTCGTGGTCCATATTCAAATTTATTAACAATCCAAATTTTGATCTGTTCCAAATAACTTAATTAACTAAATTTTTTAAAATAATTATTTAATTTCTTTAAAATTTATATGAAAATATATAAATAATTTGGATCGGATCGAATCATAATCGGATTTGATATAATTATATTATAATTCGAATCCGTGAAAATATAAGATATCAAATTCAAATTCAAATTATTAATAAAAAAATATTAATTGATGTCCAATTAATCACATTTGAATCAAAATTTGATCTATTGTTATTGCATAAAAGATAATGTTGCATGCACGATTTGGTCAAAGTAAGTGCATTGTGTTTTTGAATTTTGTTTAAATATTGAAAGAATATTCAAAGCAAGACAGCTTGACTTGGTGGCCTTTCCAAGTATAAGTATACTTATCTTCGAAATTCCTGCGCCAGAAATTTTCAACGACGTCAGTCCGTTTGACGTCTATTATAAAGACGTCAAATCGAATGATGTTTTTAAGTTGGTGGGCTTACCTACTATATTGGACTAAAAAATGTTAGTCTATTTGACATCTTTAGCCTAAAAACGTTAATTTGTTTGATATTTTTAAAAAGTGTCTATATTTGGGAATTACTTTAAAAACCACCCTTATTTGGGACTTTTTTTTAAAAGTCCATGGGATAGGTCAAAAGCTCATGAAAAGTAGGGGTGTTCACTCAACGGTAAGAAATAGGTTCTTCCGATTTCTTACCGATATTTTGTAGAAAATTTTTTTTGTTCTATCCTACCCGATCAAGGTATTCCTACCCGACTTCCTATCTAATTAATCTGATATGAAGTCAGGTAAATACTTTTGTAGCTATTAATTTTTGAATTATTTTAACAATTTAATTAAATAACATGCACCAATTTAACAACACTAAAATCTAAAACAACTACAACAACAATTACAATAAAACACAAAAAAGTATGAATATCAATCCACCATAATTATTACACAAATACAATATCAATTATTTTAATTATTACATAATTGGCCTATCCTACCCGATCTGACACTCGAGCTTTGAAGCTCAAGCCCCAACTGGCATTGGGAAAGCAGACCAAAAGCTTTCAATAAAATAAGCTTTTAAACAATAAACAAACAAAACTCACATCCAAAATAAGTAGTCTTTGCAACTTCAAGTAAACATACATCAAACCCCAAAAAAGTGAAAAATGACAACAGAGAACCAAACCACACTAGATAGTGCAGAGAGAGAGAGAGAGTACCTGGGAATGGGGCTGAACAATGAAGGAGGAATAGAGATGAAGGAGGAGTGGAGTGAGGTGTGACCGTGTAAAGTGTTCAAACAGGACTCAATAGACGATTAGGATTTTTTTAGTTTATATATATATATATATATATAAACTAAAAAAATCCTAATCGTCTATTGAGTCCTGTTTGAACACTTTACACGGTCACACCTCACTCCACTCCTCCTTCATCTCTATTCCTCCTTCATTGTTCAGCCCCATTCCCAGGTACTCTCTCTCTCTCTCTGCACTATCTAGTGTGGTTTGGTTCTCTGTTGTCATTTTTCACTTTTTTGGGGTTTGATGTATGTTTACTTGAAGTTGCAAAGACTACTTATTTTGGATGTGAGTTTTGTTTGTTTATTGTTTAAAAGCTTATTTTATTGAAAGCTTTTGGTCTGCTTTCCCAATGCCAGTTGGGGCTTGAGCTTCAAAGCTCGAGTGTCAGATCGGGTAGGATAGGCCAATTATGTAATAATTAAAATAATTGATATTGTATTTGTGTAATAATTATGGTGGATTGATATTCATACTTTTTTGTGTTTTATTGTAATTGTTGTTGTAGTTGTTTTAGATTTTAGTGTTGTTAAATTGGTGCATGTTATTTAATTAAATTGTTAAAATAATTCAAAAATTAATAGCTACAAAAGTATTTACCTGACTTCATATCAGATTAATTAGATAGGAAGTCGGGTAGGAATACCTTGATCGGGTAGGATAGAACAAAAAAAATTTTCTACAAAATATCGGTAAGAAATCGGAAGAACCTATTTCTTACCGTTGAGTGAACACCCCTACTTTTCATGAGCTTTTGACCTATCCCATGGACTTTTAAAAAAAAGTCCCAAATAAGGGTGGTTTTTAAAGTAATTCCCAAATATAGACACTTTTTAAAAATATCAAACAAATTAACGTTTTTAGGCTAAAGATGTCAAATAGACTAACATTTTTTAGTCCAATATAGTAGGTAAGCCCACCAACTTAAAAACATCATTCGATTTGACGTCTTTATAATAGACGTCAAACGGACTGACGTCGTTGAAAATTTCTGGCGCAGGAATTTCGAGGATAAGTATACTTATACTTGGAAAGGCCACCAAGTCAAGCTG